CCCCAAAGTGGATATACCTCCGCCACCCCTACCACTCATACCACCTCCAGATGATGAAGAGACCACCAGATCGTTGCCCAGGTATGTGCTGACTATGCTGTCATATGTTATCAATTACTCTATTATTCTTGTGTTAGAAGTTTTGTATAATTTATTGTTTATTTCAAACTGAATAACATGTGAGTCTCTAATATAAATACTTTTATACTTATTTATATTGATATATAAATTGTATATTTATTAGGAATTAAAAATAGAGTTAATTGATTGCATAAAAGCCTCAAAAATTGTGTATTAAATAGGATTTCAGTTTCAAAGGAATGTTCATTAGTTATTGAAAACACTCGAGACTTGAATAGAGAATAGGCTTTAATTTGAGTGCAAATAAAGTTTTCGATGCATTGTGTGTAAGACTCGGATTATATTGGCTTTCAATTGATTAAAGATTTACTGATTAGACATTAGTTGCTTATATTTGCAAGAAATTAAATTCACACACTTTTATGGGCTTAGACTCGGAGTTCACAATCAATGTATTCAAATGTTGCCGATTTGAATAACAAATGAATTTTAGAGAAAAAAGTTATTTATATTTAAAACATTTACTTAAGAAAAGTAAATATCAATATTAATAAGTGTTATAAAAATTGGATATAAAAAATTAAGTCGCGTTTAGCGAAAGCTATTTAAAAATAAAATCTCGCAATAAAAACAAATTTTTATGACTTTTAAAGCATATAAACAAATAAAAAGCTCACAAACAAGACATGGTTTGGATCCTAAACTTACTCAAAGAAAATCATCTCATTTATAAGTGAAGTATTTTTTTAACAGGAATTTAAGTCTTTGCGTAAAAAATAAATAAAAAATATGAGACATACTATCATAAAACGCTCTCATTTATGATGAGACTCACGAGAAAACTGTTAATTTATTATTCCTTGTAAACTGGTGTAGATTTCACATTATTTTGAGACTATTTTCTTGTAATGAATATTTTTTCTTACATTTAATGCATATTTGTTACGATAAAAGAAATTTATAATGAATGAGAAAAATATATAGAAATAATGATATTTATCGGCAAATTCACAGCTCGACGGAAATAAGCGAATCGGAGGCGCGACAGGCGCTCATTAAACATATAGCCAACCGATGCTGTTATGGGAAAGGAGTCGCCAAAGACATGTCAATCATCAAAATAGAGCATATGTGCGCTTTTCATGTAAGAATCGCTCTCTCTCTCTCTCTCTCTCTCTCTCTCTCTCTCTCTCTCTCCATTCTCTTTCATTCAGTGACTCCGAAAAAAGTTAATTATATTTTTACGAAAACGTATATAACATAAGTGCAAACATAACACAAACACTAATGCATAACATTCTGTTCGAGAATTTACTAATTGAATGCCTAAGACATCAAAAAGCTATAAACTTTTTCGCGATATTATTATAAATAAACGCTTTCGCGAGTCCTATCGTATATACAGATCCATAATTACATCCAAAGCATATGAAAAACCTGAAAGATTTTTGTATAAACAATTGAAGTCTTTGTTTTTAAAGCATAAGATAAGACAGTTATGGCATATAAAGCACATACTCTTTCGATTAAATAAATAAATACACATCTAATTCATGTGTTAAATTAGGTAAACTTACTAACGCATTTACTTAACTGTCATTTAGAGTTACTTATTGTGTATACTATCTGTTTGTGTCGTAATCCAATAGTTTATTTGGCGATAACGGTAGTTTATATCTAAGTAAAAGCATTAGATTTAGTAATCTGTGAAAACATCCCAAAAGCATATCTATTATTCTTATCATACAATTAACGAATTGGCGGACAAATTGTTTTCTTATGTGTGAAACAATGTCTACGAAAAGCCGTGTAAACATCCCATCCCTATCTGTCTCATTACACGTGCCTTTGGCACCGATTTGATAATCTTATGCCAAATCTCAAGATCTTATTTCTTTGTAAAATTGATTCAAATTAAACAGAAAAATGTCAAAAAACTACATGACTTTGTCTTATTGTTTTGCTTGTTTGCTGAAGTCTTTTAACATTAATTTTACGAAAACCTAAATAAACAGCATTTGTTCTTAAAGTAAAGTTTTATGTCATGTGTAACCTCTGCAAGTCGCTTTCCTCTGTTTACACAACCCGAAAACTCGGGATAAATCCCCCAGCTATGGACAGTCACACGAGTATAGACGCCACCAATCTATGGTATATTGAAGCCAAGCCGACCGCCAACTTCCAGAATCAGGTCTCCCAGATGGAGGTACCCAATACGGCAACCCTTCGCATGTGTCACTTGTGTGGCGGCGTCGGAAGGAAACGATGCCTAACCTGCACTGGAAATGGATATGTAATTGAAGTCATAGAATATTCTTTAATATTCTATTACAGACTAAGAGAGAGAATATTGTTTGCAAACTGTGTTAGGAATCGTGTTTCTCGTGTCACGGCGATGGACACAAGCCGTCATTCAGTAGCGGCAATGGGGAACGGGAGCGATGCTGGAAGTGTATGGGCAGTGGCCGACTCCGGTGCTGGAAGTGCAACGGCGAGGGTCGCACTCAGTGCCACACGTGTACGGGAACGGGTCAATTGAAATGCTTTATGCGACTCCTAATTACCTGGTAATCAATGTTCAATGCTATTCACATCACATTCGCATAAAAGCCAATATTCTGTGTTATATAAGCTTTTAGAGGCAATGAATTTCATTTCCCCAAAACATACTGTATATGAATTCAACGCAAATGTTAGACTTTTATGCCAATCATTAGGTTTAATGATTTCAGTGCAACCATTATATCGACATTCGGGGGACATTTGGCACTAAAGTAGAATCGCTATGAAATTGAAGTAACTGTGCATTTGCTCCTAATATCTCATATTACTATTACTATATTGACATACCAGTGCTAAACTCATATTATAGTCAGTTAATGAACGCAAAACACCGCTCATTATACGACTCATAGAGGGCTACAAAATTGAATAAATTGCAAACTTTCACTTCATTAGCATTTTTGATGACTTCAATAGTGAATTAACGACTAATTTATTTCTTTTGAAATCAAATATTTCATAAATGAATACATATTTAATAATTTAAAGCCTTTTTAGAAATTCAATATATAATATATTATGGCAAATGACTGAACATTTAGAGTATATTGACTACAGTATAGTATGTGTTTAACTCGTAAAGTACTCGTGATTTTAATTAATTGAATGTATAGTATGAGTAAAACATTGAGAATACATGCCATTCCTATCACGTTCCCAGAGTGTAATAATTTGACAAAAAAGAAGTTAAAAATATATATTAAAAAACTACTAATCGTTTTGTGAATATTATATGAAATGTACAGATCATGTAATCTCGTGCCTGTAATATTAGGTCAAACCATTTGGACGACTTTGTGTTGGATAAGGCCTCCACATCAGTACCCGACCATCAAATTAAATCAGTTACGGGGGAAGTGGTGTTTGAAGAGGAACAGCACCGGGTATGCCATACATGTGTTACTCAATACACAATCTCAGTGTTTACTTTAGGAAGTAAAATGCAAACTTTTTCTATAAATAAGTGCACATCTAAATGATTAATTAACGTCTGAAATATGAATACAAATATTAAAAATATCTTTCGAGTCGTGAGTCAATTGTATAACTTCAATAGTGAATTAACGACTAATTTATTTCTTTTGAAATCAAATATTTCATAAATGAATACATATTTAATAATTTAAAGCCTTTTTAGAAATTCAATATATAATATATTATGGCAAATGACTGAGCATTTAGAGTATATTGACTACAGTATAGTATGTGTTTAACTCGTAAAGTACTCGTGATTTTAATTAATTGAATGTATAGTAAGAGTAAAACATTGAGAATACATGCCATTCCTAAATACATGCCATTCCTATCACGTTCCCAGAGTGTAATCATTTGACAAAAAAGAAGTTAAAAATATATATTAAAAAACTACTAATCGTTTTGTGAATATTATATGAAATGTACAGATCATGTAATCTCGTGCCTGTAATATTAGGTCAAACCATTTCGACGACTTTGTGTTGGATAAGGCCTCCACAGCAGTACCCGACCATCAAATTAAATCAGTTACGGGGGAAGTGGTGTTTGAAGAGGAACAGCACCGGGTATGCCATACATGTGTTACTCAATACACAATCTCAGTGTTTACTTTAGGAAGTAAAATGCAAACTTTTTCTATAAATAAGTGCACATCTAAATGATTAATTAACGTCTGAAATATGAATACAAATATTAAAAATATCTTTCGAGTCGTGAGTCAATTGTATGCAAAACAGATTGGATGAGAGGATATTGTTTGTCATCTAATTTATGGATCAATTGTATGCTTATATGTATTGTCTATTATACAGTTGTGGCCAATAAATCATTTTCCAGACAATACCATAAATCTGGCGTCTGAACAACTCGTCAAATTGCATGAGGATACTTATTTATCCAGTGAAAAATTATTGCTTCAGGTATGCTATCACTTCCTTTTACTCCTTTTACTCAACATCCATACCATCCATACATCCATTCCCTCTTTACTACTCTCTGTGTTTCAAGAATTGCTTGTTTTCGTTCATCCTCTCTCTCTCTCTCCCTCCCTCTCTCTCTCTCTCTCTCCACCACAATGGCTATCGATTATGTATATCATTAAACGACTATTTGAGTAATTGATCAGAAAAAGATTTCCCCATATCTGCCTTTCCTATTCATTGTCTCAATCTCTCCACTCTATTGTATTTCTCTATCAATTGTTATAATATGATGTGTTTTATGTGTTTCTCTGTCATGTATTTCCACTGAGAAGAGACATCGGGTTCGTCTCATTCCAATGGCTTCAATCCATTACCTATGGAAAGGTGCGGCCGCACAGTATCTGGTGTACGGCCACGAGATGCGAGTACACGCACCTCACTATCCACAGACATGTTGTTGCGGTTGTCTCATCCTATAGACCACTAATTGGGCCAATACTACACAATCACATCAATTATAATGCCTATCCTTTATTCTTAACTATTGTTTGCATTTATTTCTGAACCAATTTTTGTTGTTTCGTTTCGTTTTCTACACATAAATGTTTATAAATTATATTTAATTATTATCATTACCACTGTTATTGTAGTTATTTACGTTGAATGCTATGGTTTTTTATTATAAATTATATACCAGTCCGTTTGTATTTTCTATCGCATAATATTCTGTATATTCTTTGTTGTAAACATTAATGTGATTCTTATTATTCTTATGATTATTGTTATATTTTTGGTATAATTAATGTTATAATTAATGTGAAATACTTTCCTGCTTTTGATTATAATAAAGTCGAGCACAAGAACAACGATATATGAGTGACTGGTATTGTATTATATTTAAAGATTATTTCTATATATTATTCACTAAAACTCGGGGAACAGTAAAGTTATTAATAAAGTTGTGCCAAACATACTGTTCCTCTCCTTCTTAACGCAAACTAATACATCAAAAAGCAAAACCTTTAACTGAAATGAGTTGTTATTAATAGAATTCTATATCAATATTGTTAATGAATTACTCGATTCTGTGTTGCTTTTTGACTCCAACCGAAAGCCATTTGTTTGAATGAATCGCTGCAAACATGAATACAATTTTGTTTGAATAGAAAAGACAATACGTTCATTGATTTGACCGAAAATTTTAATTAACAAAACTTTGATGTAATTGAATGAATGAAACATTTAGGGATAAAGACTTTGTGCCATTTATTTAGTTAACGATTTTTGTTGACATTTGAATGTAGAATAAGTTTTGAAAAACAACTCCGAAATGCAGTTAAAAGCAAACCAACGATTGTCTTAACCAAAGGTTTCAATAATTAAGACCAAAAGGACTTTGAATGAACTGTTTTGCTGATTAGAAACACTGATTAAAAACCATAAACTAAATAAATTATACTTATTTTACTTAATATATGAGACAAAACTTCAAATTGCTTAACGATTTTATTATAAATTAATAATTAGACATTTATATTAAATGGTATTATGTTTCTAAATTCTACTCATAATTACATGAAAATATATGTTGAATTAATATCATATTAAATAACGTATTAAATAAATGAAAAACATTTAGATATTGTTTTAGTTGTTTTTTGCAATTATTTGATTAATATAATGCACTTGAAATCCATGGGTGGCTTTAAAGCATTTATTATAATTTTCTCATATATTATCGCATTTTAATTTCATTGCATTTAATGTAATGAAATTTTTGTGCATATACTCTAAACACGTATTAATTTAAAACATTAATATACAGTAAAAGCATAAATACATAGAAACTGAGACATGTTTTACACTATTATTCAAATAAACAAAATATTCTACAATATATACAGAATATTGTACAGAATACAGAATATATACGGAATTTTGTATTCATCTAACATAAGATATACAGCGTTTTGTTGACATCAATAGATATATTATTTGAAAATAAAATTAAATATCAGAGTAAAATAGAGAGGATTTATGGTAACAAAAACATTTGATATATAAATATAGTTTTGTCGGACAAAAGAGATAAATTTCAAACGACTCGACTCTATCCGGAAAGAGACCGGCATTTGTACTGTCGTTGTATTTAACTTATTTCACTCAATGTATGGCAAAGCAATAGTTGTCTGTATGTATTGTATGAATGAAAATCAATATCACTATTTCGCTCAATACAAGTGCTATAAATATGATGCGATAAAGTACTGGAGAGAGAGAGAGAGAGAGAGGGAGAGAGAGAGAGAGAGAGAGAGAGAGAGAGAGAGATGGAAATACATGAGAGAGAAACACATAAAACATATCATATTATAACAATTGATAGAGAAATACAATAGAGTGGAGAGAGAGAGAGAGGCTACAAAAAGGCTTTGAGGGTTTGGATCTAATTTCAAAGTTATTAAAAATAATGAACTCCAAGTGGGAGAGAACACTAGGAATTATTAATAAGTAAAACTCAATTAACAGCAAATTGAAAAACAGCACATTTCCATTCATTTATGTTATTCTTGTCTTGCACATCAACTCCACTAATGGCCAGAAATTTGATATTTAATTTTTTTCTTCAATCTTTATCTACAAAAACATGTATTCAGAATTTGAGATCTAAATAATTGGCAATTTTTATCAATTATTATCATTATACAGTAACTCAAGTAAAAGTGAAGTTTATAATATACAGTATTTAATTAATGTGAAAATAGTATAAATTCAATAGTTCAAATTTGATACTTTAAATGGGTTTTTATGAATTAATAAGTTAGTCAGTATAGTTTTGTATATGTTTGAAAATTGCAGTAATATTAAACAGCAATTGCCAGGCAATAGGTCTCAACCCATATGATGAGGGCCTATATTTATACTTTTCTACAATCTCATCGCACATTAAATGTATACTAACTTATCATAAAATTAGAGCATATAATAAGAGTTGCACTCAAATTGTACGCTAAACACAATGTTTGTTTATCCCTAACATTAAGCCCTGTCTTAGACCAGAATTCATGCCATCATTAATACGAGAGAATCATATTCTTATAGTTTATATATATTTGTAATTACGATAAAATTTAATTACATTCTGTATATTGCAGTGTTGTATACAACAGACTCTTTCTCTATGTTGTTGTAAATAATTCATTACAACAAAAGTCACTTTAATTCTTGAGCAGTAATGTCTAATCACATCAAATATAATGAAAACAATTTTGTTTAGAGATATTGTGTTCGTGTGTCTCTGTATGTCTGAGCTCCGGGTCTAAATCTATAGGTGTTGTAAATATTGATACAAAAATAAATAATTATTTACTCAATATATTGCAGTTGTGCTGCACTTTGCATAAGTTTGGACCAAACCGAGAGACCCTTCACTGAGATTTCTCAATAATTTTAGGTTTGTATTATACTGTATATACCATACCATCTCATAGACAGATAAATATTGAATGAAATATATAGAAAATAAATAAATAACAGAACTTGTCGTGCAAAACACAATCAAAGCATTCAGTATCCCAGTGGTGAACAACATATAAAACCAAATGACACGCAATGTGTTCATTGAATTGGATGAATATTTCGCGTTTTCACATATTTCGAGAATACATTTCATTAATTAGCGTTTTGTACATTTTATTTAATCCATTTCTACTGACCCATCACTTCAATTGTAGTATGAACTGTATGTTTTCCACAGAATATTCTAACACTTTAAATGTATAATCATTTATTTATAGACACATAATCTGTCAATTCATACCATTTCTATACAACTATTGGATTTCAATCATTCGTGTTTTTGTACAATGATTTCTATTGCATTAACAAAATTTCTATATATCCTAAACAACGGGAAACTTTTTTTTATACTTTAAATGGAATTTAAGATTTCGTTTTTTGGATTATTTTTACAAATTTATCACAATTTAGTAAAAGAGAGAAGTTTTAGCAAAACATTGCAAACCATTGATATTAATAAAGATTGGCTGAGAAGAGGACATCTGCAACAACATCCAGATATATAACTCGTGTTGTGTTCGGGGGTTTTGGGGGTTAATGTAAACTCTAAAAACACAAATAATACATTTATTGAACATTTCATTGTATGTATGTTTCGGTCTTTAGACTATTCTCAACCCATTTTCGTACATAAAATTTCAATTCTTATGAATACATTTTAGCAAAAAGTTCTTTATTTGCTCTTTTAATGAATTCCTTTGAAACTATTTTATTAAATATAAACAAATGGATGTAAACATACAAATGATATTATTTGCTAGATACTTTGAAGTTAGATATTCTGTAGGTTCTGCTATGTTTTCCATAAAATATATTATGCTATTGCTTTAACTAATAAATTCTGTTTTATAATCTCTCTCCCTCTCTCCTCTCCTCTCCTCTCTCTCTCTCTCTCTCTCTCTCTCTCTCCACTCACTCTCTCATTCATTAATATTGAAAGCAATAATCATTTGAACAAATGGTCGGATAAAGAGACTTCCCATTTCAACAAACTATACTCTGTTATGTTTCAGGATATTTATTATCTGACTTAAGAAATACTGATTATTAATCTTAGCTCTATAACAACATCTCTTGTAAACGAAAGTATATTAAACGACTTATTTTTGTTAATGTTTCTCAGAGCAAACATTTGGCAAACATTTGGCAAACATTTGGCAAACATTTGGCGAACAATTGATTTATCGATAGATTGGGTGTTGAATATCGACCTCTATTTTGTCGATATCAACAAATTCTTGTGTGCCTTTCCTATGGCACATGTGTCCGCACAACCAATCAATTTAATGGACAACAAAAGGGAGCAAATTTGTCACAAAATCTACAAATTGTTTGCCAAACCATTGGTAAGAGTAGAGCCAAAAGTAAAGAAAGTTTTTATAAGTAATTGAATAAAACAATGTATTGATTGACTTTTGGCAACATTTTTAGGACGAATATTTGAGGTACAGTTCCCCACATAAACTCTATTCAAACAAAAGTGTGGACACAATGTGTGGGAAGAGCTCTTCGGGTAAATAAGATTTGTACGAAACAAGTGGTGATCAAGTTTGAGATTTCTATCAATAAATCATTAAATTTAAATAAAAAACTTATTAATTATTTGTTTAACAGTGAACACAGATGTGACACTGGGATCAAGTGTAGACTGTTATACCATTAAAAATTAAATATTAAACCTAATATTAGGATATTACGGGCTTAATTAGGATGTACCGGCTAATTGTGGGTCAGTGTATAGACAGGAATAGGACCAGAATAATAGCATTGAATTCTGTATTCAATGATAGCATAGAGTTTGTGTCAATAGATGTCACTATGAAGTGAACGTACGTTCAGTCAAACAGTGTGTTTGTAAACAATCGACTCATTTGTCGGCAATTTGTGTGTCTTATCAGCGATTGTCTCACAATTAGACACCGATTGAGGCATTCATTTGAATCGATAGAGTGTTAGAGTGGGTGTGAGTGAGTGATGCCAAACGGGGGCGCATCGGGTGGTGGGGCCAACCCTTCCGGTGCCCACAAAGGGAAGGGAGAGTGCGATGCCATCAAAGACGAGAAGTTGGGACTCATGAGGGAAGTGGGCACTCAAGCCGTGTGGTCATTGTCGTCGTGTAAGCCAGGTATGAGACAATCACCACAAGATACTCATTGTCGTCGTGCTTGCTCAAGTTGTATACTTGTCCATTATTCCTAATTAATTAATTTCACCTAGCTACCAATTTATATTAATATGAACCAGGTTGTAGCATACTCATTGTCCATGTGCTTGTGTTGTATACTTGTTGTCCATTATCCTAATTAATTTCACCTAGCTACCAATTGATATGAGCCAGGTTGTTTTTGAAACTGCAGCCTATGTTTAGTATAATTGTCATAAACTCATAATATGACTGTTTATGATAGACTCATATAATGAATGTTGTATTCAATGCTTAGTTATATCCAAATGAATTGAAAGCCAGTATTGAAGTGATAAACCATTTGTGTATTCAATGAATAATATGTTAATTAAATGAGTGACACATTATATGATAGTATAGTTTGCGGTATAAAAATACTCGTGATTTGTGGCAAACATTTAACGATTGGATCATAAATATAGTCATAATTTTGTGTTTGATGTCATAAAAAGTCTTATAATTTATGGACTCATTATATGTCACATAAAAAGGGCAATGATTTTACAGTTGGCGTGCATTTGATAAGTGATTGCATTTTGTGGTCATAGGCTTCGGTGTGGATCAGCTCCGGGATAACTGTCTGGAGACGTACTGGCAGTCGGACGGCCCTCAGCCACATCTGGTGAACATCCAGTTCCGCCGTAAGACCACAATACAAGACGTGTGTATTTACGCCGACTATAAGCTGGACGAGTCATATACCCCTAACCGCATATCCGTGAGGGCCGGCAACCACTTCCACGACCTCCAGGAGGTGGAGCTCATGGACTTGAGTGAACCCAACGGATGGGTTGTCATACCGTTGAAGGACTCGAATGAGGCGCCCATCCGAGCCTTCCTCATACAGATCGCTGTCCTCTCTAACCATCAGAACGGAAGGGACACTCATATCAGACAAATCAAAGTCCACTCTCCCGTCCAGAACTCCATTGTCTCTATACTCGACTTTCCCATCAATTTCACGACTGTCCAGCTCTCACAGCACTCGACCATTAGATAATGTCTATCCATGTATTCATTACAATCACTCTATTTATGATTTCATGTAAAACAAGATTTTATTAAAATGATAACCATTTGTATGACTGAGTGAACTGTTGTGTCCATTCATTGCATAGAGTGTCCGATCAGTCCATTACAGTGACTGTAATCTGAAATGATTTTATTTTTTATGTTTGGATCCCTTATTTCATATCGTGTTATAGATTATGATTAATAGCGTTATACCAGTGATAGGGTCGGCGCTATAATACTGGGCATTCAGTATTTGGGGGTTTAGTGTGAATGCAATGCATGAACTCATAGCTCAGCCGATAATCCTTTTGGCAGCGAAAGAGCCTAAAGTGTAGGTTTGAGGCGATGACCAAAACATTGAGTTCTTATATATGAGTTGCGATCGAAATAAAAGTTTTTGATCTCAAAGTTATAGACTGAGTTAACACCGGCTATGGCAGAGATGATAGCATGGAGTGCCAGCACAGGGTTAGCAGATAACGACACATATATGATGTCATTTTTGTAATGCTTTTGATGATTGTTTAAATCCCTGGATATATACTAACACACAGTGATCGATGACTGCACTGGGATTTTGGTTACTGTCAGCCATAGACTATCCATTCCTACTGCGGGAGAGTACAGTAACTGGACAACACGACATCTCTCTCTCTCTCTCTCTCTCTCTCATTCTGTGAGTGTAATAGTATATACAGTACTGTACACTATATCCCTCTCCGCCCTGTTATATAATGTTTAGAGTTTTGCATTCATATCACTGTATTCTAAGTTATATATTCTACACAATAATACGGCATTTCTATTACAATATATGAGATGTCTGTCCGTGTAATGCATACACAATGCCATTAGTGCCTAACCTTTATATCCAACACCACGTCTGGAAAGTAAATAATATCTGATATATAAATAAAATGAGAGAAAAGAAGAGATAAAAAACTAAGAAATGGAAAAAGAGAGCAAATCTCGTACTTTTAAATCAAACAAACACTCAATCCTTATTAGGGCTCAACATATTTTGACCGGAAAATGAATGAATTCCGGGATTTATTGCATCAGAAAATTTCACTTTTATTATTCAACTCATAATACTTGCGATACTTTTCTCTTTATATCATATACTTTATTAGGAAATCTATTTTCTCCTGCATTCCTATGTATTGTTACATAATTTATATTTAATATTATTATTATTGAGTCATTTTGTGTGTCGTTTATCCGTAAAGCTCTTGTGTTACATAATATATGCTTTAGTTGTTTGGGTATTGAGAGGACAATAAAATTAAATTTTTTGAGAGAATATAACCTAAAGTCCGTAATAGAGTGCAGATTATTGAGTGGACGACTATTTGTATCAAATTGGAGAGAGAGAGAGAGAGAGAGAGAGGATTGTATTTCCATTTGAATGAAAGGTCTCTCAGAAGAATGTGATTCCCTTTTATGGCAATCTATTAGTGAAGACTTGCGCCACAACTGTATTCTTTGGGCAAAACTTTTCTATTTTGAGTCATGAATTGTATGGACTTATAATAAGTCGTGTCTTTTATGTCCACGAATTGGTCTCTTCTGTTCACTTCTCTCAACCAATCCTTATATTTCTTTATTTAATGCAATTCTCTGTTATATATATATTTGATTAGAAAATAGAGAGAATGTATTTGCAAACGAAATACTGAATCACTTTTATATACACTATATTATCGCCGAACCCAATGAAAGAAAATTCAAAGATTTAGTTTTGCTTTCGCTTTAATCAACTCTCAAATAAGGAATATATCTTTTGGTTGTAATTTGCAAATTAAAGCTGAATTTTAAGCCTTTATTGCAATTATTATTCATTAAATTCATGCAAATATACATTTTTCTAAGAATCAATCAAAACATATTTAGATAAATATGATACTTTTCTAAGAAGTCCCACATAAGTCCCTTATTTTTATTTTTGCAAACAATAGGATTGACAATGTTTTCATATTACTACTGTATATTTCACATTCATGATTGAAGTACACATTGAATTCTAAGATGTATTCATGTATTGGTTATTTAAAAATCTCATTTCAGTGTTAAATGCATTGAAGCGTTAAGTTTTTAATTAATAGAGTCTATTATTCGCTGAAAATATATTAAGTTATATAAAAGTCAAATGTATTATCAAATTGAGAGTCAGTGAGAACCAATCCTTATATTTCTTTATTTAATGCAATTCTCTGTTATATATATATTTGATTAGAAAATAGAGAGAATGTATTTGCAAACGAAATACTGAATCACTTTTATATACACTATATTATCGCCGAACCTAATGAAAGAAAATTCAAAGATTTAGTTTTGCTTTCGCTTTAATCAACTCTCAAATAAGGAATATATCTTTTGGTTGTAATTTGCAAATTAAAGCTCAATTTCAAGCCTTTATTGCAATTATTATTCATTAAATTCATGCAAATAAACATTTTTCTAAGAATCAATCAAAACATATTTAGATAAATATGATACTTTTTTGCAAACAATAGGATTGACAATGTTTTCATATTACTACTGTATATTTCACATTCATGATTGAAGTACACATTGAATTCTAAGATGTATTCATGTATTGGTTATTCAAAAATCTCATTTCAGTGTTAAATGCATTGAAGCGTTAAGTTTTTAATTAATAGAGTCTATTATTCGCTGAAAATATATTAAGTTATATAAAAGTCAAATGTATTATCAAATTGAGAGTCAGTGAGAGGATGAGTGGATTTTCTTTTCAAATATAATACAATGGAAGACATGAAGACATATAAGTAATCAAAGAATGTCTTCGGATCCATAGCTTAAGTGCTGTATTCATGCCATTAATTGAAAAGACAATATAAAACGACAAAACCTTTGTTTCTGAAAATTGAATTGTGAATAATATTTGTTCGCTTGAGTTGGCACTGGATTTTGAAAGTGAGGATTGAGTGAAACTTATTGATCAAAACGATATACACATTGGATATACACAAGGATTGTTGTCTTAGCTCTCAAACACACCATACATACAGACATACAGACAGTGGTGTTGACGATATAACTGCAATAACTGGCGAGTAATCTATCCCTACACACACTCACTCTTTAACACATAGTCTATCGCTTGACAAAAATTTTTTCCTTACATAATATTTTATGTAAACTTAATTAACAAGACAATTAATTATATATTTGCTTATCTTGTCATCAAAGTCTA